TAGGGATTTAGAGCGTGGAATTTTGAACTATTTGCAGCTATATATACATGTGCAAAGAAATCTCCCCTACACCACAGCAACATAAAGCATGTAAGAGTGTAAGCAGAGGCAGCCTCAAGGAATCGTTTCAGTCCCCAGAAACAGATACAGCTCTTCTGTGCCCATGATTTTTCCTTTTTGCAAACATATAGAACACATCCATGTTTTCAGATCTGCAAGTTTCATTCCTGTCTATCCGAAAATTCAATAGTTTGTATAATCAAACACGAATATCATCAAAGCCTCTGTCAAATAACCAGACAACGTCCACTCCTTGAGTAATGACTCATGTCTTATACTTTCCATCCTCTCCTCATTTTTACAACAAAGCAAAAGGCAGAAAAGCTTGCAACAGACACAAATACTGACAGTCTCAATTAAAGGGCAGAAGCATGAGCATGACAGTAAAATGGTAATTTTTCCTTCTAATAAAAAGTGATTATGTATTCTGTCTTCTAATCAGCATCTGGACAAACTAGAGAAGTGAATGCATAAGAACTAAATGGTTCAGCAAGTCCAAGTGCAAAGTGCTGCACCTAGGTCAGGCCAATCCCAGACATGGGTACAGAATGTAAGAAGAACTCACTGAGAGCTGCTCTGCCAAAAAGGACTTGGCGGGTCTCGTGGATGAAAACTTGGACACGAGTCAACAGCATCAGTGCTTGCAGTCCAAAATGCCAACCACACCCTCAGCTGCACCAAAAGCAAAGTGGGCAGGAGATCAAGGGAGGGGATTCTGCCCCTCTACTCTGCTGAGACCCCACCTGGAATTCTGAATCAAGCCCTGTGGTCCTCAGCACAGGAAGCACATGGCCCTGTTTAGAGCACGTCTAGAAAAGGGCAACAAAGATGATCAGAGGACTGGAACAAATCTGCTCCAAAGACAGGCTGAGAAAGCTGGGATTGTTCTGCCTGGAGAGGGGGAGGCTGCAGGAACACATCAGTGTGTCATTCCAGTAGCTAAAGGGGGTCTATAAAAAAGGAAAAGTAATTTTTACACAGGCAGATAGTGATCAAACAAGTGGAATGGTTTTAAACTAGAGGAGGGGAGATTTACATTAGGCGTTAAGAATAAATTCTTTCCTCAGAGGGGTAGTGAGATACTGGAACAGACTGCCTAGAGAAGCTGTGGATGTCTCATCCTTGGAAGGCCAGGTTGAATAGGACTATGAACAACCTGGTCTGGTGGAAAGTGTCCCTGCCCATGGCAGGTAGGCTGGAACTAGATGGCCATCAAGGTCCCTTTCAACCCAAGGCATTCCACAATTCTATGCTCTCTTGTCTCTCCTTGCAACAAAAAGCACATATAACGAGTACCCCTGATGACTGTGTCTACAAAAGGCTCGGGAAATACACAGGAAGAAACTCCATGCAGGGAATTTTTTCTAGTGTGCATGGACCCAAAAGTCAGATTCACGTGTCCTAAATCATTGTGCCTGGTGCTGGCTGGCTTTGGGACTCCAAAGAGATATTGACTCACTCAGAAGGAGCAAGGATGCTAAGTTAGCCCAAACTCAACCAAAGCTGGAACTGTGCTTGCAGGAACCAAGGACACTCAAAGCCAAAGGTAAACTGGTGACCTTCTAACTACATATTATGAGTTTTCTCTTGAAGGCTGAGCAGACTCCTAAAAATATAGAAAAAAAACCACCCAGATCTTGGGTAACTAATGACATTTTTTCATTATTATAATAGAATAAAAGAAACCAAAAATGAGAAACACATATGTCATTGTGCACAAGTACCAATACACACAAAGAAATCTAGGAAACTCCAAAAAAAAGTGGTTTTTTACATAGCTGCATTTTAATTTGAAAGTATGTTTGCAATGCAATTAACCTAGTTATTCTCTAGAGCCTAAAAATTTCTACTTGGCACCTCTGTTCCTCTTGGAAGACTAGGAGTTGGAAAAGTTCTACTTCAGCAGGAAGGGAAGGATAAGGACCTTTGTAATTTGAGATTTTTTTTTTTTTAGTGTTTTAGTATCTCCTAGCAGTGACCTACTTTATGAATGCAAAGCCCACTTGGTTCCCACTGAGCCGAAACCATTTAGAAGAGACACAGAACGATTACTGAACACTATTTTCTTACTGATCAGCACAAAGTTATTTGGCACAAGCATCTCTGTAAATGTTTGTCCAAGACTAGGTAAATTTGCAGTGTACGATGGCCCTCAGACCTGTGCTTCTGTCAAGTGAGAAGGCTCATAGTCTAGCACTGCAGCTGAGATATGCTTCAGCAGAAATACAGAATGCTATAGGCTGAGCCTAATATCACTGCTATCTTTCCCTTTGGATCTGTTCTTTCTTGTTTTCTTCAATGTTTCCTTTTGCAAACCAAAAGAAGATTAGTTTTCAAATGGAATGAATGTAAGGGCAAAGAAGACAATTTGTGAAGTGCATTATACTGGGCTCCGCTTTGGCATGGAGAAACCAGAGGAAGAGAAGGGAAATGTACCCAGCTCTGGGCAAGTACCAGAGGAAAAGCACAGCTCCAGAGTCACTTTCAGCCTCACAAAGCTGAAGGCAAAGTCTGCTTTAGGATATGCAAGGAGGTCTGATGGACTCAGCTCAAAGCGACACTGGCAGCCTGCCACAGTATTTTGTTCACGTGTGCCTGAGATATCCATGGGCCCAGAGCTGTAATTATGGTCTCAGATATCACAGTACTACTAGCCCAGGGGATATTTATGGATCTGATATGTACAACCTATAGGCACTGTGAAGTTACAGGCACATTCAAGAAAACTCCCCACTCCAGAAGAGGGACAGCAAGTCTGTAGCAGTTCTTTCAAGCTGCATCAAAGCAACACACTTCACTGGGTCTCAGTCACTGAAAGGTCTGAACAGGGTGAACTGCAGGCACAGGGCTCAGGCTCACACCACAGATGATATCAGAGGCATACTAATGAACTGTGAACCAGGTTAAGCATTAGCACTGCTTGTTTCCCTACGGAGTGGCTTGCTGATTCTCACAGTTGCATTTTAAACTCACAATAATAATATGGACAAGTACACACTTTCCTCCACCAAAAGGGAAAGGGCAGACAACCACTTCCACACTATTTATTTCTACAAAGCTTATGAACCATTTAGAGAATAGAGTGCAATCCAAAAACCGAGCTAGAAAGAAAAAACTCCATATTGTTTGCTATTTATACTGCTAACTTTTGCCCCAAGGCATACTACCACACAAACAGAATCACCAAAATGTCACATCTGTGGGAAAGAAGCCCACAACCACCAGCGAGGTGCATGCAGAAAATACCTCAGCATGGGGAACAGAAACTATTCCAGGTTGCCAAATGCTAGTTCCACATGAAACCTAGGGAGGTTTCTGTGTCTTTACGTGAGCAGACAGGACTTTATGTGAAATACCCCCATCAGCCAGTAAGATGCATGGGAGAAAAGGAGTTTGATTGTCATCACACTTGTTTGGCTCTGGAGTAGCTCTGGTTTATTTTGAAAGAATACCTCCACTTTACTACAGCTTTAGACACTCTGCAAACACACACTTCTCAATCCATAATCTAAAGCATTACTTTCAGCAGCATAACTGCAGCCATGCAGCCTTATCAATGTGTAGTTCTTTCTCCAAAATAGCTTATGTTCATTGATGGAAGTGTTTCAGCCACTTTCATGTTAAAGCAACAACCCAGACACCCACTCACATTCAGGCACAGACAAGTCCTATACAGGACAAGCATCAGGACAATCTGCTTGTTTTGAAAAATATTTAAGAACAGGATTTTGAAACTTCTGTTTCCGTAAATATTGGAATCCCAAACCCAGTGCCTGCCCTTAACCGAGACCGCTTGCCCTTCAGGCTGAGGGCAGCCAAACATATCAGATTGCTCTGCCTGCTCACAGGCACTTGGAAAGCTGCATGGGGGTATTTTCAGTCACAGCCTGTGTATCTCTGCTAAAATTTACTTCTTTAAAGCATTCGGTGTCTATTGACCAAGAGGATTCAAAAGCACCCTGCAATGCTTTCTTTACTATAGTAATTCTAAATATTTTACAACTTACAGTGCTCTCTGAAGGAAGACATTCGATATTGCTGCATGCAGTTAGGAAGCAAAGTGCTTTTGTATTACAGAAAATACAGAGCTGTAAAATAAACTAGACTGAAAGATCTTTATTACTAAAGCTGCTTTGCACTGAGAAAGCCTTATGATGAGAAAGCAGGGCAAACATTCCAGTAAATGCAGTTGTCTATTCTCAGCATCAAAAAAAATTTAAATGCAAACTAGAAAACTAAAGTATGGCAGATTTTGTATGTGCTTACATAAATGACATAACCCTAAACCCTGATCAGATTAGAAGTGTACACTAACACAGATTAGAAGTTAACACATGTACAATACAGATGAACGTCTTTTTTCCTTCCTGATACCAGCTGCATGAAACTGTGGTAGAAGAAATGCCTTTAAACCAGGAGGAAGTATCAGCATTTTAAACTCAGGCTTCCTCCAGCTTAATCAGGTATTTTTTCAGTATGAAAGAAGTTCTTCTATTTAAACTAAAACATAAGGCATTTTAGCAATTGCCTTTCACACAGACATATCCTAATTCTGCAGCATTTTCAAACACTTCACATAGATATTTCTCCAAAAGTTACACTGACAAAAGTCATTTCACCCTTTTGGGAAGTACTTGACGTCTATTTATTTTCAGCCTTTTAACAGTCAGGACACCAAGGTTTCCTCCTGCCTCAGCTCTAAGCACCACATAGTTTGATTTTAGCCAAAGAACAAATAACATTTATTTTAGCTATTTAACCATTCTAGTCCTTACCTTGGGGGAAAAAAAAAAAAAAAAGAAAGAAAAAAAAAGAAAAAAAAAGAAAAAAAAGAAAAAAAAAAGAAAAAAGCCTTTTCCATTTTCTTCCATTAGAAGCAAATGCTGGCTTTCTGTTCTTTGCGGGTATTCTAAAACAGACAAAGCTGTATTCCAACATACCTTGAAAGGAGAGTAGCGCTCACTGCCAGCTGTGTGACTTTTCAGTGGCTGCACTCTGACTCGGGCATTCCCAAAGAACCACGATGCCACAGAGCCGCGGAGCTCGCAGCGAGGAGCGGAGCCGATTGCTCTCACACGTCCTTCCTCGTCCCTGGCTCTCTGACAGCTGAACACTTGTAAGGGCTGCAGCAGGGCTCGTCTCCCAGCCCCTGTGCCACTCCGAGAAATCATCCCCTCCCTGTTATTAAGTGCGTGCTGCCATTATATCTTACCCGCGCCTCACAGCCCGCATGCAGTGGCTGTGGGAAAGCTGCATTTATTTGTACAGGAAGCGTGAGCACAGCACTTCCTACTTCCCATCCGAGACTCACTTCAGCCGCAGGTGATCGCCGGCACCCGGGCAGCTCCCAGCCAGGGCACACCCTCACCTTCTGCTCTGGGTCTCTGGGCAGCTCTCAGCCACCGCTCCCACCCCAGCCCTGACAGGGTAAAACTGAAAGCAGCGAGGCTTCGGATGTGACACTCATCAAAGCCCTCCCAAATTAACCTGTTTGGGGAGAGCAGTTTGCATAGCTACTGATGTCTGAAACCTCGCTGGCTTCTGCTTGTGAAAAATGTCATCCAAAAAAAAAAAAAAACTTAAAAAAAAAATTATTTCTTCACGTTGGAGGGGAAGGGAGCAAAAAATCTAAACTCAAAAGTAAAGTACCCGTGTAATTTCATATCTGAGTGTTTTATGATGATGGTGCTCATCTTACCCTGTCAATAGTAAAATTACACTCTTTAAGCTGTCCCTATGTACAAGAGGGGTTGGGAATCCTGCAGTTCCGTATTCCAGACCTAAGGGTGTGATTCACAGCGGCCAAGTAGCAGGAGAATATCTAATTGTGCCACATGACACCAAACCCTCAAGAACTTTTCCTGCTGTAGGAAATGCACCACACCCATAGATAAGAAATATAGATATACCAGAGTGCAGAGAGTGCAGAAAACCAGAAGGAAGTATAAATGTTAATCTACAATTTTCTTATGATGAAATAAATTTACTTTGTACTTCATGCAATCATTGCTGGCATTTTGCCTTCAGTACTTTCCTGTGAAAAATTATATATAGGCATTTCTTCCGGGGTGTATAAAAGCTCACAGCTGAGCTTTTAGATATTTTCAGACAATTATACTGCATCAGATTAATTTAAGGAAAAAAAAAAAAAAAAAAAAAAAAGCTTGTGCAACTTCAATTCAGCCTCCTTGCTGAATTATTCCTTTATATTACAGCTTTGCTTGAGTCATCATCATATACTCTTTTCCTCTCAGAATAAGAAAAAACTTAGAATTTATATATTTAACATTGGGTGTTATAAATAATTTAGGTATAGTTATATAATTTATATAATTTTATAGATACAATTTTATATATTTATATATATTTAGGGAGGGAGAGGATAATACCCAGAAAAAATATAGCTTTTCCAACATGTGGGATCTTGTTGATCCTTATGGTGTTCATCAACAGGGTTACAACAAGGTTAGGCAAACTAGAGCCATGTCACATTTACTGCCACTTGAGCTAGGAAAGCATTTCCCAGCAGATGCAGACATACATTTTCTCAGCAGTGGCCAGTCCTAGACAAGACTCAAGAAACACTGAAGGCTCAGAGCTATTTTTTAGGCTCTAGAGCAGTACTGAAAATGTGGAGTTCTTTGGAAAACTTTATGAGTAGAAAATGATTCTCTTTCTGTGGTTAGATTTTTATCCTCCATGTTCTGTTCTAGTATGAAATAGCTTGAGCCTCTAGCACTACTCCCTTCACTACCTTCCCTCTGCTTCCAGCTCCTATATTTTCCTCTTGCAGCTGCCCCCTTTGCTACTCTGCCTCGATCACACAAGTACTGATAAGCTCAGCACGAAAACTCTTCCTGTTCTCAGCCTCTGTGCTCAGCACCACAGCACCTGAACAGCAAAAGGCAATTATCTCAAGGAGGAGAGTGGTGAGAGAGGGAGGATGAAGGAAATCAGGACATTCATGCAGGTGTAGGAAAAATATCAGGGCAGTTAAGTTCAGAAGCAGAGCAGGGCAGCTGCCAATAACAGAGTAGCAAAAGTAGCATCTGGTTTGGTACTTACTCCTTGCTGGCACAACAAAACAAAAACAAGCTTCACTGAAGTAGCCTCCACCAGTGAAGAGACAGAACTACAACAAAGATTAGCCATCTTCCCTTCAGATAAATGATGAGGCCAGCTTGTATCTGGGGGGGATGTTCTTTTAAACTATGAAAAATAGATCTAGTACATTAAAATGCACAAAAATTCTGGAAACTTCAGCGACAAACATCCCATAGTATTTTTATCCCATTTCCTACTGTCTCCGTGCAAGTTATAATGTGGTTGCATAAACGTGCAAAACTGCTTACAAAAAATTTATTTTCCTTTAGACTTCACAAAATTGGTGAGAAAAATAATGTTTCTCGAGACATTTAATTAACTGGAAATGTTAAGATATGCTTGTTCCAAGCACTCCACTTCTAGGGTATCAAATCCTAAACTGTGGGGCCCGAATTTTCACTCCAGACAATCACTTACTAATGCTCTGTGGACGGCTGGCTATGCCTCTGCTCCCATCTTCTCTTCAGTATTTGCCCCTACTTTTCTGCTTCTCCAGGATCTCCACAACAAAGGGGAGCTGAAGGTGATGTGGCACTGTGCAGGAGCTCAGGCTATAAGGACTTGAGATGATCAATACTGATGATTCTTTCAATTGCTATCACCCAAAGATGTGAGTTGGACTTTTATGAGCTCTTCTGTCAAAATGATTTCTCTTCCAGCTGTACCTTGAGCCCAGGTACTTCACAGTTTCACAGAAGCACATCTTCTTGGCAAGCTAATTTTATGAAGTGTTGAGTCATGCTAAAATTGCTACCCAGCTCAAATCCCTGAATCTCTTAACCCAGACTGGCTTCCTTTCTGAGCCAGCAAATAAAACTTCACATTGTCACACAATTCCAGACAAGGCACAAGCTAAGTTCTCCCCATTTGCTTTCTTCTTGGACAGCTGTGATATAAAGCACAAAACTGAAAGGGTCCAATTAACTTTTTGGACATGTTTAACTGATGCTTTTATACCTCCAGACTGGGGGAATAGCTGAGCCTTTGAGATGTCAAAATGCACTATCACTGGAAACTTTTAGTTGAGTTACTAGCCAAAATAAGAATGAAGGCTGACCTAGGTAATTACTAACAAGGCTGTGTCATCCTTGCAGTGACTTGAAATACTTCAGAAATGACTAAGCCACTCTTCATTAACTGAAATTGCTAATTAATTTTTGACATAGATGGGTAAAAAAGTAATAGCGTAACCAGTGAAAAGATCGCTGACATCCCACAAACAAAATACCATTAACAGCGAGTGAAAACACTGGGTTAGTGTATAACTAACGGTTTCATTGCAATTCTACATAAGGAAACAGGACTAGCTTATGAGGGGAAAAATAAAATTTCACTGCCCTGTTTCACAGCTTTCAACTAAAAGAAAACAAATCACCTGAAAAGCAATTGGCATCCATAGGTGTAATACAAAAACAGGTTTTATAACAAGCTTTTTAAAATCAGAGCCTGACTAAAAAAAATGAGTCCTAATCAATTTTATTTAGTGTACATGCAAATAATCCATTTTGCTATGGAAAAAGAAAGTATTTGTAGATGTGAGAGAAACAGTTTCACAACAAAAATAGATACTAATGAGTAACATAACCAATGTTGAAAACAAAACAGGAAGGGGTTTTGCACAGGGAGTATACATATATTATCTGAAGTTGAAAGTGTGACGCCCCTGATGTCATGGACTATTAATAGTTGTCTTCAATGGGAACTATTTTAAAGGGGAATTACACCATAAAAAGTCATTTGTGGTACCTTCATAAACCAAATGTTTTAAAAAGGGATCTCTATTCCATATATGTATTTTTATAATCACACAGTGCTAGAAATCAGATGACAGTGCAGAAAAATACAGAGCTATGTAATATTTTGCATGCAGACAAGCTTTAATGAGTATAGCTACAAGAAAATCAGGACCACATCTTTTCTGTTTAAATAAACCTATTGTTCTACAATTCTGACTTGGTATGCAAGTCACTCACTGACAAACCAGGCTTGAAATCTTCATTAATCCCTTTAGCGAAAACATAAAACTTTATTATAAGGAGTTTTCTATTAGAGTGAAATAAATCAAGTTAAAATATTTTGAAATAATTGTAGGTGCAATGTAAAGAGCTTTTAATTTCACAGTAAAAAAAGGGAGTGGGATGGCACACTGTCTCTACTGAACATTTATGATTATGATCTCAAAAATGAGTGGATTTGTCTCAGACACAAAGAAGAGTGGTAGGTGACTTACACTGATCCTGTTCCTATGAACAAAGCAAAATGCAATATTCATTAGACTTTGTTGGCATAGTGGATCATCTCCAAACAAAATCATATGGCTTCCATAAGTTCTATATTTCTTCTCCATGCGTATTTTTTCCTGTGTTTAAACTATCTTTTGGTATTTGATCCATACAGAACTGTGCTAGAGGGGAAAAAATAAAATAGAGCCTCAGCAGAAAACCATGAGAAGTCAGCCTGCTACCCCAGTGGGTAAGTTTCAGGTGCTTAGAAATTTCAGCTTAAAGATCCAAGCTGATGGCTTTGACAGTGTATTACTGGAATTCCAGTGCAACTTCTCTCCTTGGGATCTGGAAGCATCAAAAGAGACAAAGTGGATTTTCCCCTATAGCAAAACCTCCTGGTGGCAGAGCTCTACTGGCAGTACCACCAGGAGTGGGCATTTTGCCACTGGCACCAAACTGCTCTGGAACAGCTCTACAGAAATTTTTGCTTAGGCTAACTCCTTCCTGCTCACTAGGTGCATGAAGAACCAGCCTGCTAGAAGAAAACAAGCTAAGTTCCTATAAGCCTGCCATAAATAAGACACTGATGCCAGTGAGCAGCAGTCATCCAGCCCAGGGGCAGCCAGAGCCGCACCCTCAGCCCAGGGCACATCCTCAGCCACCTCCTTGCACTTGGGACGCAGGGAAGGGGCAGGCTGCTGTCACACTCCCCCTTGGCCTTCTCCTGTGACATGAGGCGTGCCAGCCACCATCTCACAAGGCAGTTCTGTCCCTCCCCAGCCACACAGTGGCCATCAATGAGGTGACAGCACTGCTTCTGGAGACACTGCAGCCAGGGTCATGGGACACCTCTCAGGCCCAGCTGGACAGCAAATGTAGCCCTCCCAAACCAGCACCACCTCATGAACTGATGATAAAAAATAAAATGGGACCAAACACTTTGCTTTGCTCTCATATTCATGTGTTACACATACAGAAGTGGAGTTGCTCAGTTCTCATGGGCATCAGGTAACAGGTGAGATTCTCTAGCTGTGAAAAGGGTAAT